AAAAAAAAAAAAAAAGAAGAAGAAAATCTATGCCAACAAGTCATTCAATAAAATTCAGTAGCTATTGAATAAAAACTAAGTGGATTGGTGAAATAGGAATAGAAAAAAATTAAAGATGATAAAGACAGTTTATCAAAACCAACAGCAAATTTCATACTACATGATGAAATGTGGAAGCATTCAGCATATTAAGAAAAAAACCAGGATACCTTTTTTTGTGTGTGTGTGAGGAAGATCAGCCCCGAGCTAACATCCGTGCCAATCCTCCTCTTCTTGCTGAGGAAGACCCGCCCTGAGCTAACATCTATTGCCAATCCTCCTCCTTTTTTTTCCCCCAAAGCCCCAGTACATAGTTGTATGTTACAGTTGCATATCCTTCTAGTTGCTGTTTGTGGGACTCGGCCCCAGCACGGCTGGAGAAGTGGGGGGTAGGTGCGCGCCTGGGAGGTAGGTGCGTGCCTGGGATCCGAACCGGGGCCGCCAGTAGCGGAGCACACGCACTAAACCGCTAAGCCACGGGGCCGGCCCAAACCAAGAGACCTTTTATCACTATTCAGCATTGCTTTGGACATCTCAGCCAATGCAGTAAGATAGAAAATGAAATGGTGTAAACATTTTAGAAGAAACAATATTTGTATTTATGATACTGAACCTCTTAATCTCAAGTTCGTGTGCCCGATGCCCAGCAAGCCAAACACTGAGATATCAGTGCTTGGAGATGAGAAAAATTTATTCAAATTGGCCAAAACGAGTAGGTGGGAGCCTGGGTTGGCTCAAGTCCACCTCCCCTAGAACAGAAAGCAGGGGGGTTTTATAAGCTAAGAGACTTGGCAGGAGGGGCTTCAGGGAAACAAAGGGGTCACTCCTGATAAGCCTCTGGGCAATCTGACTTCTGGGCTTCAACAGCTGCTGAGGGCCTGCCATCTGGTGATCGGTGATGGTGATCGGTGATCAGCCATCCAGTGATCGCAACCTCCCTGAAGGCTTTCTCTTTCTCCTGCAAAACAGGCTCCCAAATCCTCGAGTCACCCCTCAAGTTAAACCAGAAAAACAGCAAATTGGTTTAATATCTACAGTACCCCTCAGATACCCAGCTTCATTTACAGATTATATAATTGTACACCTTGAAAACTCATGCAAGTCTAGTAAAAAATATCTGAATTTGTAATAGAATTTGGGAGGCTGGCTGGGTACAAAGTATATTTAGAAAAATAAAAAGCATTTTCAGGCTGGCCCAGTGGTGTAGTGGTTAATTTTGCGTTCTCTGCTTTGCCGGCCCGGGGTTTGCAGGTTCGGATCTCAGGCGTGGACCTACACACTGCTTATCAAGCCATGCTGTGGCAGGCATCCCACATACAAAATAGAGGAAGATGGGTACAGATGTTAGCTCAGGGCCAGTCTTCCTCAGCAAAAAGAGGAGGATTGGCAATGGATGTTAGCTCAGGGCTAATCTTCCTTACCAAAAAAAAAAAAACAAAAAGCATTTTGTATACTGGCAATAGCTAGTTAAAAATGAAAATGGAAACTATATCCCACTTCCACTTTAATGACAAAACTATAAAAAATACTTGAGAATAAATTTAACAACAGTGCAAGTCATAAAGGTTTTATTGGTGTTTATAGAAGAAGGTCTAAATAAATTTCAGGATATTAAGACAATTTAATTAAAATGCACTGTTAGTAGAATTCATATATAAATTTAGTGGAATTTCTGTTTTATTAATGTTTCTGAGGGAAACTGGTTAAAATATCTAAAATGTTCATATGGAAAATCAAGTGTCCAAGAACAGTTTTTAACAGTGTGTGTGTCTCTGTGTGTGTGTGTGTGTGTATAAAATAAAGAAGGGTGAAACTTGCCTTACTAGATATTAAAACTTACTCTGAAGCTGCTGAATCAAAACAATATGATTTTTTAAAAAATTAAAAACAAAAGAAAACCCAAAATAATATTGTGGTACAGAAATAGGCAAATAGATGATTGGATCATAATAGTTCAGAAATAGCCAACTATTTTTTTTCTATTCAGTGGGAAAGTATGATTTACTTAATAAATGGTGCTGGCATTATTGGCTATCCATTTGGAAGAAAATAAAATTTTCTTATTCTGTATTACACCATGTAAAACAATCCATACAGGTTAAGAAAGGTAATACAAAAGCATTAGAAGAAAAATTAGGAGAATAGTTACATAACTTTAAGATAAAAGAGGTCTTCCTAAGCAAGGTAGGAAACCCAGAAATCAAAACAGAAAAGATGTGTATACTTGACTATGTCAAATTAATTTAATTTAAAGGAATAAGCAATTTAATTTAAATAAACGAAGTATTGAATTAAAAACTCTTGTATGGTAAAAATCATAACAAACCAAATGAAAAAACAAAAGACAGAAAAACATGTATTTTTTCAGCCCTAATTTTGGATTGCTACAGCAACCACCCCTTACGTCCCAGGCTACTCCATTTATTAAAATTGTTGAATCTCTTATTTTAGGGTGGGCTTATTATTTGGGGAGAATAACAAGGGTCTTACTGTGAGAGGCCAGGGGTGGGACACCCTGCTGTTGATCCCCAGTTGTACGCTGAGTCTCAGTGGCAAGAGAAGGAGTGCCTTACATCTATTCACAATTGGAAGGGTCGCTGATGTTCTGGTGGGACCTGCAGAGTTTGGACTGGGCCTAGGAACTTGGGGTACGGCCACTCAAAAGCCCTCAGAGCATCACTACACTATCACCAGCAGTGGATCCAAAGGCACGTTAACCCCCACTTAGAACATGAAACACCTCACATGGAAATGGGCTCAGACAAAGAATTGAAGTTTCCATTGCAAGAGCCAACCTGGGAAGTTGGGGCTGTTCCAAACAATTCCACGTGATCAAGTGTTTGGGAGAGGATCTTGGAGGCTGGACTGACACTTTTGGCCCTCTTAATAAGGGGCTAGCCAGACCCTTCAGGCTTTCCCTAGGGACCAGCCCAACCTGTCACGTGACAATCGCTCCCTGGAAGTGCTCTGCTGGAGCAGAGCTCTCTTACTGTAGCAGAGCTCTCTTACTGTAGCCACTGTTCCCAGGCTCCCAACACAAGACTTACCTTTCAGTAATACCTCTGATGGGCAGCAGCATGAGAGGCTGCTCCAGGCCCAAGCAGAAGGTGTCCTTAAGCAGCAAGCATCATTGAGAAATGCAGGCAGTAGGACTCAGCTGCTTCCACTCCACCTAGTGAGGAAGCAGAGAGGCGGATGCGGATAGCTTGGCCTAAGGGCTTTACGGCCTATGAAGAAACTCCTCTCCTCCGGAAGCTGATTAAAGTTGGGATAAAGGAGGTCTGCCAGCTGGGAAGCCTCAGCCTTACCTTAGTTTAGGAGCAATCCTGCCAAAACTTTAAGAAAGTAGAACAGAAATTCCAATTCGATTTCCAGCAGTAGTTTCTCTTTAAAGTCTCCACCCCCTACACAC